TTTTCTTCTCTATTCTGCTTTACAGGAGTACTTTCTGAGCTGCTAATATGTTTTCGACGGTTGCATTTTCTACGAAGTGCTATTTAGTCTGAAGGTAGGGCACAATGACTGCTAAGTCCGTGTTGTGAGTCTTTTCCTGCTTCAAAATTGTCGTCCTCCTGGTAGATATGAGCGCACTTTCTACAAGTACATTGTGAAGTTGCAAAAGCATATGCTCACTTCTTTATTCGACACAATGAAACCCATATCCTAGCTCCTCTCTTGGCAGGTACAGTCTCTCCAAGCATGCAGGTTGAATGTGAATTCCGTATTTAATTAGTAACTGTCTGGTATCATGTTCAATTGCTCAAAAGTCCTCTGAGTCTTCTGGTTACAGTTCGAGCACCCCACTATAATAGTTTAATAATTCTATGGCATGTTCATTTGAGTTCTTACTGTTTAGTGCAGTTTTGGCTAGCGGTTCAATTCCCTCAAAAATCTCTGCTTGCACTTTATCGTAGCTTTCTCGAGTCGGAGCGCTAGTTCTGTCTTCCATTATGCCAAAGTATTTATATCTTCTTGAGTTCCTTTCAAGAGCACCGGCTTACCAGCGCATACCTCAGTATTAGTGGCTGACACCTCTAACCCTACTATTTCAAAGAACTTTTGGACTTCTTCGGCTACAGCTTTCATGATATCTTCGTCGGCAGCAAGGAACTTGAGAATATCCACAAATAGTAAATGGTTCGGTATGTGCATTCTTTGATCGGTGAGAACCTCCAACTTGAGGTATCTGATATTAGTCCATGCATAAAACGAATAACAGCGGAGAAAGGCTGTAACCTTAAAAGATTTCCTCTGTATTTTTTTCTCCATTGCTTTTCAATGTAACCGACCATCTGGAGGTGATGCTTCTCAGAAACCTAACAATCAACATTGGCATGTTGAGCATTTAAATTCACTTAATCAGATAGTTATGATTAACTGAATCAAACGCTTTTTTAACGTCATACTACGTGGTAAATAACTGATTGGCATGCTCTCTACATAACGCCATGTTTAAGAGTGCCTGCTTTTTCGTACCTTGAACCTTTCCACCAGTTCCTAATTAGTTGTCTGCAAGTAGTTTTTTTGTGGCAATATCTAATTGTATGACACATTTCGTTGTCAACTTGTTTGACATACAGGTTATTTGCCTGAAATCACTACCTCTGTTTGGGACATATTCAGATACGTCGTGCCTTTCTAGAATCATGGGTCCTGTTCCTCACCATCCAAGCAGATTCGCTATTTTGTACAGATCTAGATGAAAGGAGATGCACTTTTTAATCAAGAAGTTGTAGATTCCATCAGCCCCTGCCACTTTCCAGTTGGGCAAACAAGAAACTATCTTCCCTAATTCGGCTTCAGATGAGAAGGTATCATGCGCTTCAGAGTCTCGAACGAATTCTTCCAGATATTCATTGTGCCGATTATCATCGTCTTCACCCATTTTCGAATTCCACATCGTGTGGCCCAAAACTCTTTGTTTTCTTCTGTCCATATATTTAGCTAACAGGTTGTTCCTCAATTGATTTTCTATAAAACCGCCTTTGGAACAACTCAAATCTGCATTTTAATTTTGAATGCACATCGGGACTCATAACTTTTTATTTTATTTTCATAAACCTTTACACGTTCTCTCAAGCCTCATGACAGTCACGTTTGAAAGCAAGTATGAGATTCATGCCTCTCACACACTTTTTTGCCTTCTACAGGTTTTTACCTTCCAGTACTTCACCGGCCAAATACCGCTCTATAAGTGTTTTCTGGAATTGATTTTCACTTATCTTCTTTTCTATATTTGCCTTCCACATCGAAAGCTTCTTTTCACGCCTTGTCATCTCTTCGTAACATTGTTGTGCCACCTAGAACTGCCTTGCAAGATCAGTCATGACTTGAGAGGACTCTGTGTGGCAATATTCACCCACTCTGTGTGGCATATTCAGCCCCACTTGTTTAACCACTCCAAGTACAAACGGCTCAACTTTCTTCGGGATTATTTCCCACGTTCACTTTGTCTGGTCTCGCGCTTTTGTGCTTCTAGCATCAGCACTAGGTATTCTCCTTTACATCTAGATAAACCTTAGACTCATGCAGTTTGTTTTGCTCGAAGTACGTATCTTGCGGTTTGATACGTTTTGTTGACTCCTCCAACGACCGTTTCTGCGAACACGGACGTCTTGCAATACTGATGAATGCGGCATTCACTTGTTTCTTCAGTTGTTGAAGGCTAATCACACACACAAACTTCTCGCAATATTATAGAAAACGACATAAGAGCTATTCCCATCCCGGCATCCTCCTGAAACGGTCAAGAACCTCCTGGCTAGCTGCTTTGCGGAATCTCGATTTCTCGAATGATAACTTCAAACGTAATCATCCTACTGGTTCTTGGTTCCAGTAAGATGGTCGAGTGCTCACCTTTCACGGAGGTTTTCACAACCTCATATGTTTTGTCATTAGTTTCCACTATGATTCCAGATGCGATACAACTCCGTTCATCCTCCATTTTCTCCTCGGACTTTCGATATCCTGACTGTACGAGCGCACAGCATTCTTCTTTTCTGTTTCTATCTCGTTTTGGTACGGGCTTACCTCCCGCTTTATTCGTGCCT